TTCTTTCTGTGCTCGTGCTTTTTTGTCACTTTCTATCCCAGTTTATTCCTTTCGATAGATCTGAATCTCTCAAACCTGTTTTCCCTCTCTCTATGCTGCAGTCTTCTCCACATCTAAATCTCTGAATCCCCCAAGCCAAAGTTTTTTCTCTCTTAATTCACTCTCTATCCCAGGTTTCCTCAATCGCTCTCTTGGTGTCCTAGGGTTTTTCCCTCACTCTGTCCTGGGTTTTCTCTCTCACCTTCCCTGGCTCTCCCTCTATCTTTCTCTCTCTTGCCTCCAGAATTTCTTTACCTGGGGTTCTCTCTCTATTTGTCTATTCAGCTTTTTAAAAAATCTCTATCCTACATTTTCTGTTTCAAATTCAGGATAAATTCTCCCTTTCTCTCTATTCAGGATTCTCTATTGCAGATTCTTCCTCACTCCATCTTCAGAATCTCTTTCTCTCTCTCTATTCAGTACTATCTGTCTATTTCTATTTAATATTATCTCCCTCTCCCTCCACGTTTCTCTCTTTAGCCGATGTAATTGCTCTCTCTGTCTATTCAGAATTTTCTTCCCCACTCACTTTATTCCCTATTGCTATCGCTCTCCCTCTCTATTATCTCTCTCACTTTATTCATTGTTATTACCATGTCTCTCTCCTCTCTTCTCTAATGTCCCTCTATTATTATTGTCTATAATATCTCTCCCCTCTATTATTTTCATTACTATCATCTCTCTCTCTCTAAATGACCATATTAACTCTATTACTATGATCTCCCTCTCTCACTCTATTATCTGTACTTGCATATCTCTCCCCCTCTATTATTTGTCACTCTGATTTCTCTCTCTCTCCCCCTATTATCTCTATGACTATGATTTCTCACTCCATATCTATTATCTCTATTACTATATCTCTCGACTATTGTCTTTCCCTCACACTCTATTAGTTATCTCTTTATTGTTATTATAATTTCTCTCCCTCTATTATTTTGATCTATCTTTCTCACTCCACTGCCATATTCTTGCCACTGCTCCACATATGCATTAAAAGAGCACTTTTCATCTGTCTTTAGGATTAGACAGGGTAATCTCTCAATGATCAAGGACCCCAGAACCAGGGGTCACATCTAAGTGTATAGGGTAGGCCATTTAGGTCCGAGATGGGATGAGATTTCTTCAGCGAGAAAGTGCTGAGTGCGTGGAATTCTCTGCCACAGAAAGTGGTAGAAAGCCAAATATTTTCAAGTAGTTAAATGTAGTCCTTAGGGCTTAAGAGATCATCATGAGTTGAAAATGGGAACAGGATACTAAGACAGATTTTGCTGATTCGGTGCTGAAAGGTATGGAGAACATTTCTGTAAGCCTTGTGCTATCATAACTTGCCATCCTGCAGACAGTATGAAATAAACTTCTTATGTCAACATAGCTAATCTCAATTGACTCTTTTTAGATTCTTCTTTACAGATTCTCAACTAGTCTAGGAATTCTATGAAATAGTCTACTGGTAGCCCCTTCATCAGTTGCTCAGTTTCCCAAATATCTTTGACTTGTCATTCCCTGTCTGACTGTTCCTTGACATGTTGGTTCCTGATCTTAACCACTTTGACTACTACCATTTGAAAATAATTCACAGCAACATACACACGAATGCTTGAAAGTGAAAAGTCTTGGTTGTGGAGTATATATTTTATGTGTACCTCGCCTTTAAGAGAGTGAACCTTTAAGGACTCCATGCATTGTATACACACAATGCTGTAACTCTTCCTGGCTGTTAGTCTGCTGAAAGTTTACATGCTGCACACAGAAATCGGGCTGCTGTAATGTTGATTTCATAACATGGAATGTGTTCTACTATTTTAAATAAAATAATCCACAGAGTTAAACAAAGTCATAATTTATTAAACAATTATCATTAAATGACATGAAGGGCGATGGAAAATATGCTGGTAAGGCACATAGTACTTGAACAGTGAGCAAGTTAAGCTAATGATGAACCATATCGTTGACAGAACCAAATTGTGCTAATGTAGATGAGACAAGTTTTGTTTGTTTCTACAAGTTTTGTTTGTTAAAACACAGCTTGCTGGTAAGCAGGTAATATCCCTGTTGAAAGGTCAGTGTAACTCACTTGAGAAAGATCAGGCTGTACTGGATTGATGGGAAGGTCAAGGGCACATTTTCAGAATTTCCACAAAATTCAAGATTAAATTGGGACACTGCAGACCTCCTAAAAGAATTTATAACATATAAACAGTTCTCAGAGATATGACTTCTGCATTCAGGTGGGCCTAATGGAGAAACGCAAGCAAGATTTGCTTGGCAATTGGGAATGCAAGTTAGCACTGACTTTAACATGTGAGAATTAGCTAAAAGGCCCCCAGAAGATATGAGCCACATAAGAACGATTCAGAGTCACGTTAGTTTTACCCACTCATCAATTAGAATTCATGATATTTTGCCAGAAGCCTATAGAATCTATTGAATGCTTCATGAGCAGATGCAGAGAAAGGCACATAATGTGACTTTTCAAATGGGGAGCTAGCAAACAAAATTATTGAGTTAATGATCACATCCACTCCATGAAAGCTTGAAAAAGATCTGCTCATCAAACAGCTGCTGAAAGAAGTGATCCTCACAGATCTATCAATCTCACAGGTCCAAATTATAACTCAATGGTTGAAATAATCAGTACAACACTCAAACATAACTGGAATGTGTGATCCTTGTGCATGTACCAGGAAAATGCCCAGCTTTCAATTTTTTCAGGCATGTTGCAGAAAAGGCCATGGACAGAGGCAGTATGCTTGAGCAACATCTGACGCAACTACAGAGCCATGCACTGACCCAAACCTTGCAAAAGGAGTGTCTTCAAACTACAATAAAGGCCATCTGGTGTACTGCCTGAGGTGTTTTACATGAATAGATCAGAAGACCAGAAACAATGCTACTGTGTGCTGCTTCATGGGAAATTGTTTTCTGTGCTTGTATGGCCAATATATAGGACTTGCACCTTTCTCACAACTTTGTGGATATATCCCACTAATTGTGGCCTCAATAAACATTTCCCATTTGCTTAATGGCTTTACAAACACACCCAGCTCTTCATAGCTCCATAAGATGAATCCTGTTCTTTTAAAGGATTTTCCTAGATGATTAACGCTGTCTGCAGTAGTACTAATAACCCCCATTGATTCATGTTTTGTTAGCAGATGAATCCTGCTGTCTGTGGTTCAAATAAATGCTTCTTGCCTTCACTGCAGTTTAAATAATGGATCTCTTGCCTTTTCTGTAGTTGAACAGTCTTCTAAATTTCTGTTTCTGTTAGACAATTACTATTTGTACTTTTGATTTACCCCTTTATCAATTTAATTCTGGTTTCATGACATTCCTAGGTCAGTGACATCATTTTAAGTTGCTTCTGTGGACCTCCAATTCCCTCACTGTAGTCATGCCTCATGGTACCAACTCGCTGTTCAAGATGCTTATATGTCCAGTAGATTTTACAATTTAATCATTTTAATATCAAATTCTCATAATATTCAATTCAGAGGTCTAGAGGGGAATAAAGAACTATGGAGATTGTACACGAGAGTATAGTTGAAGTACAATACCAGCCATCTTGCTGAATGGCAGAGCAGACCCAAGTGGTTGAACTTCCTAATCCTTCTCCTACTTCCTATGCATTCATGTAAAAGGTTGTGAATGATGGGGGCACTTGATACTTTCAAGACTGAGATCACTAAGATTTTTGGGGAGTAAGCGCATCAAGGAATAAATATTTAATTAACATACAGCCATGATATAACTGAATGGCTATTTCCACAACTGAAGGTGACCAACTTCACTTGTTAATCTTGTTCTTAGCTTCCTTGGAGACTCTGCAAATTTCCTTTAAAAAGATTTTAGAACTAGTGTAGAAAATGTGAGGGAAGTTTTATAAAATTTTTGCTTTAATGTGAGGAATCCCTTTTGAAGAGTGCATACAGACAGCTGCTCCCTTTACAATTCCTCCTCGCCTTAAGAACGTACCGCATAGTAGAAACTCTAAAAGATCATTAAACTTTCCATCTTCCTATCAACCTAACAGCATCAGGCGCCAGAGACAAATTCAAACCCAGGACCAAATATGAAAAGGGCAGTATCCAATCTACTGAACCAACAGTTCTAAAAAGTTAGAGTTCAATATGAGGGGAAGGAGGAATTCTACATAAGCTTTCCTTCCCTGAATATTCTGAAGGAGATACCATCCTACATAAATGCATTCGCTCAACACTTCAATAATAGTCATGAAGGTGTGATCTGTTGTTCAAAATTGAAAAGATATGGGCCAAGCCCCACCCTGGAGACTCTGAACTAATACCTTAGTGCAGTGTTGAGGGAGTATCACACTGTCAGAGGCATTGTTCATTATATCATAGATTAAATAAATATCCTGTGTGCAGGGGTGTTCCATCAATACATCTATGCCTTAAACTGAAATCACTAAAACAACAGATTAACTAGTCATTATTACACTGCTACCTGTAAGTCTTTGTTTTGTACAAGTTTGATGCTGTGTGCCCTACATCACAACTCTTCAAAACACAATCTTTGACTATAAAGTACTTGGGGACATTGGCGGGCCATGTAAGGTCCTACATCAATGCAAAGCTCTCATTTCATAAAGGGTTTACTACATTGTATCAGCTTGGAGCACAATGCATATCAATTATGAGATTAGATATATCATGGTGCATTATTAAAATCTATTCAGTATTTGTCTAATTTGTGACTTGCATCATACATCCAACCACTATCCCATGTTGTAAAGGTAACAGCATTGGTTCAATTCCTGTAGTGGCTGAGGTTACCATAAATGAGTCTCCCTCAACCTTTTCCCTCGCCGAAGGCACGGTGGCCCTCAGGATAAACCACCATCAGTCACCTCTCTGTCAGAGAGCAGCCCTCTGGTCTGGTAAGACTGTGGCAGCTTTAATTTAACTTTATCCCATGTTAGAATAGAAAATGAAACAGTGTTCACATAAAGAAATTTTTTATTCATTATTCCAAAATGTTCCTTACATTTTTAAAAAAAGATTTATTAACAAATCCAGGACAGGAGGAGTCAGCTAACTGATCCCTCCTCCTCACAAACAGTATCGGCACACAGGCCCTGTGTCTAGTTAGCAAAACTCACAACCTAGTGAACTTTATGAATAAAACAAAGCAGGACGGTAAACAGGGCAAGTGTCAACTTCATTTAAAAATGTGCGAGGGTCACAGTATATAGAGACAAAGTAAGACAGTTAGAGAAAAGAAAAATGCTGGAAATCTAAAATCAAAGTATTTAATGGATCAGACACCAGGAAAAAAGGAGTCACGCCTGAAACATTAGACTGCCCTTTCCCTTAAGGCATTAGCCATTCCTGCAGCATCTCACATTTAACTTTTTTTTGTCAGGTAGTGGAGCAGGTTACCATCTAATCCTGAAAGATTCCCTTCTGCAGAAGGGGAAGACGTAAACTTACAAGACCCGGACTCAATAAACTGAGCTCTCACAAACTCTACAAAACAGACTGCACACACAGAAATACATCTACAAAGACAAACAGAAAATTAGAAAAACACAGACCGAACATAGAATTATTTAAACATTTGATGGCTAGTTATTTTCTGTGAGCTATATACTTCACATCAAAAGGAAACATCAAGATCGCACAGGATCAGGCAGAATCAGTTTAACTAAAGAAGAGATTTAAACTGCAAAAGCATGATTCCTTGAACCAAAAAACATCGGTTATATCTTTCACTTACCAGAAAGCAACAAATTAAATCAGGCTCCATTCACAATCAACCAACTGAGGAGATCCAATTTTTATTCTTTCCCATGCTCCCAAACGTTTATAATTTATGGTATTTAGGGACAAGTGCTTCAATTCTAAATTGTGAAGCCCTACTTTTTATTAAAGGATCTCTACCCAGTTCACTACAAAAGTTATGTGACGCTATGCTCGACATTGTTCATTGCATGTGGAACATGCAACTGGCTGCAGGCATTCGCAGATTCTACTTGGGGCAATGCTGCGGCCTTCTACTGGCTTTACTATAATCTTCTACTAAGCAGAAGAGGATATTGGGGTCAAAAAGCAGCCTGGACAATGAGCTTGCGGTTCCAAAACAAGAACAGAAGCGGCAATGCCCATTTCCCCAACTCATCCAAACCTGCTTCAAACCACACAAAAAAAATATAATCTGGAGGTGGGTTGGGGAAACAGAGCAAAAGAGAAAAAAGTACTGCTAGTGTTAATTTGTGAACCTGATCATCGTTGAATCCTTCTGGCCCCTTAAATCTAATTTATTTCTGAAAATGTGTAAGATTTTGATTTACCACAGTGTAAATTTGTGGTAAATTGCAGACTGTAACAGTAGAGTACAAAGTCTACAACATATAGACCAGTAATCCCATGCAAGATGAATGCTTTGTTAAAATTACAGAGATTGTGTGTTATTTGGGCACCCAATATACTAGTTACAAAATTGGCAAGTTTTTCCACAAATCATGATGGGAGACTGGATCATTGATAATTAGACAGTGCCACATCCACAACAATCATTTCACAGATGATTTGAAAAGTCATATTATTCAATCTTTACAAGGTTCAAATTTGAACAGTCGAACTAGACACCAAATCTACGATTGTTCACCCTACCAGTAGAACTGCTCCTAGAGAGCCTGACTGAAAGTCATAAATTCCCAACCACGCCATTCCTTCACTAATCCCTGCATTTCTAATCAAACACTCAAAATTTGCAGTCGGGTGTGCTGTGCGTATAACACTGGTATTAAAAGTGAAACCCAATCAAAACAGTCTGACGGCTTTTCCAACCTACAGGTGTTGTAATACACCATCCCGTCTCATGTGCAAAGCACACCCTGACTGCGCTTTGAAACTCGATTTGAAAAAAAAGGGCATTTCCTGAGTGTTTCGGAAAGCCAATTGGTCCACAGGTTGGGAGATGTTGCAATATTTGGTCGAACCACCCTGGGAACATTCCACTGTTCCTTTCATTCTCATCTTTCAGTGGATACCAATCACAAATAATTTCAAAGGCCATACTGCATCTGTGGATACCCTGATGGTCCACATGGTTAGATGATCAGACGAATTTCATCCAGTGTCACATAATTGGAGTCCTACAAATTTCAGAAGCTCATCCAAACTTCTAAAAGAAAATGCAAATGAATTAAGCACCTAACACATTCCAACAAAGACTCAAACAATGAATCCGTCACAGAGTCACCGGGAAAGAAGCAGCCGATTTGACTGAGTTGGGTTAATCTGCTCAGAATTTTAAAGGATTAAAAAAATAAAAATCGGCATTTTGGTTGATGATCCATTGCTTGAAGTATCTCCCATAACTATATTGGGGGAGTAACTTTTAACACTTAAAACATACAGACAAGTTCACAGTGTCTGTAAACTGGGTGAGAAAAGGTATCCCCAGCTGTTATCCCAGACAGTTCCTTCTAGCAGCCTTATCCCAGCAGAGATACGATGCAATGCAAGGGCTCAAAAGAAAGATCAGGTTACAGGTAGGAGGATCTTCTGAGAGTAGATGATGTCACTCAACTTGTGCCTGATGCCCACAAAGTGCCTTTTGAATTCGAGACCATCTCCCTGCAAGGAAGAAATAAATAAATATTAGTGCAAGTTCATGGATTGGGAAGCATTTCTAGAAAGAACCAAAATGCAAATTATTAGAGCAGTTACTTTTATCCTCTCAATGTTTCCCAAGAATTTTATGTCCCTATTTTGGATGGAGGGGTATGCGTCACTTTATAGAAGTGACTCATCAAATATATAAAATAGATGAAAGGCATTCCACCCCTCAAGTCTGTTCCACGATTCAATAAAGTCGTGGCTGATGTGTTTGTTTCGAATATCTCACACTCATCAGTGCCCTTCAACCTTAGATTCTCATAAAGCAAGGGAATCAAACTCCAATCATACCCCCAGACAACGGAATCACCAGACGTTGAGAGGGTGCCGCACAATGTTGCACGCAAAGCTACTAATCATACTGTTTCCAGTATTACTTGGTATGGGTGTTGGGGGTCTGACTGTACTGGGTTCATCTACTTCAGCAACCAAGATCTTAAAAGCCAGCAGTTCAAATCGGGGTCACGGATATACCAGGCTGAGCAAACTTAAGTCTGTACCAAATCCTAGCTAAAGAATGCCTAGAGTTTGTCTCACCAGCAACATGCATTTATATAATTTAGCAAATGTGGCATGAGTTGCACAAGAAAATATTTGGACAATTGGGCAAAAACTTGATAAGAGAGGTAGATTTTGAGGAACACTTTAGAGGAAAAAGGAGCTAGGAGAGTACTCTAGAGTTTATGGCATTCCCAACTGAAAGCATGAGCTTCAATGGTGAGCTAAAATTTTAAAATTGGAGGAGAAGCGATATTTCCGTGTTGTAAGGTTTGGGAGGTTGTAAGGACGAACAAGAGCACAGAGAGACTGGATTACAAGAACATGAATTGAAGTTTTGACGGGCCAGGACATAATGAACGTCAGCGTACACAACTTACAAAGCAGTTGGCAGACAGCTGGAAGAGTCTATGGTGGGTAGAAACTAGTCTGACCAGCAGCATATTGGAACAATCAAGTCTACAGCTAAGAAAGGATGAGGCTTGCAGGAGCAGTTGAGCAGCAGTAGTACATTTGGGGGTTTGTTAAGGATGTGAAGGTAGGTGGTTTTAGTGATAGTGCCCATATATGGACAGAACCTCATCATGTGTGTTAAATACAACTTCAGGATTGCAAATAATTTGGCTCTGCATCAGGGAGCTGACAAGGAGGGGAACACAGATTTAGGCAGATTTGCACTGCTTCTCAGTGACCCCTACTGGAAAAAGCTATTCAGTGATAACAGTGGAGCTCCTTTGGCTTTGAGTTTTGGGTGCTGCAGCAAACAAAATCTTAAATTAAGGATGATCACTTTGGTGAGGCGCTCCAATATTGCCTGTGCAAACAAATCCCAGCATATCAGGAATTTAAAAGAGTTTTCAAAACAAAATGAAGCAAAACATTTTCTTCCCCCATAATATATTCATCCAAGGCCTGCAGTAACAGTAAGATGTAGGGGTTTTGGACATGAAGCCAACTGGCCTTTCACTTGGAGCCTCTTGAATCAGTCTGAATCTCAGACATAAATCTACAGATGGATCTGGGCCAATTCAGAGTTCAAAAGTTTATGTAGTCTAGTTTACAAAGCAGACATCAATTCACAATTGACATGCAGAGCCATTCGGGACACTAACACTCCTTCCTTTTCTAGCTATTATCAGCTAACTGCCCTTATTATTGATGCCAAATCTACTCAGTTACATTGTGGACCTGACATTGCAATAGGAAAAATAACAGCACACACAAAAGATTCATGAGCACGCAGTCATTCCAAAGTGGTGACAATAATTTTAAGGCAATGCTTCATGGATGTGTCAGAATCTTCCCAGATGTACAGGAAGAAGGATCTGTGCACCACACAAAACAGAAAATACAGTGGTGGGCTAACAGTCCAAAGCACCGAGTGTTATTGCTAACACAGTTTGTGTCTCAGACTCCAACAGCACTGTCTGCCAGACGTACCAGGCAAAACTTCAGAAGGTGATATAGCAAGAACTGCAGATGCTGGAGTCAGAGATAACAAAGTGTGGAGCTGGAGGAACACAGCAGGCCAAGCAGCATCAGAGGAACAGAAAAGCTGACATTTTGGTTTGGGATCTTTCTTCAGAAATGGAGGGGAACTCAGAAATAAATAGAGGAGGGGTGGGGCTGGGGAAGGTAGGTGGGATGGTGATAGGTGAGTGCAGGTAGGCAGTGGTGGGGATTGGTCAGTGAGGTAGGAGTGGCGGATAGGTGGGAGAGAAGATGGACAGGTTGTATCAGGTCAAGGAGGCGGGGATGAGAGGGAGGGTCGGACATGGGATGAGGCCAGGGATGAGGAGATTTAGAAACTGATAAAATCCACATTTAGGCCATCGGAGGCCCAGGATGGACATGTCACCCAGGGAGTGGGAGGGGGGAGTTAAAATGTTTCGCGACCAGAAGGTGTTGTAGTTTGTCACGTAGAGAGTGCAGATACTCTATAAAATGGTCACAGTGTCTCCACTTGATCTCACCGATGTAGAGGCCACATCGGGTGCAGTAGTCACTACATGTCCATCCTGGGCCTCCTCCAGTGTCACAATGATGTCACCCGGAAACTAGAGGAGCAGCACCTCATATTCCGCCTCGGGAGCCTACAGCCCAATGGCCTAAACGTAAATTTTACCAGTTTCAAAGTCTCCCCAACCCTGGCCTCATCCCATGACCAACCCTCCCTCTCATCCCTGCCTCCTTGACCTGGCACAACCTGTCCATCCTACCTACCTTCCCCAGACCCACCCCTCCTCTCTCTATTTATTTCTGAGCTCCCCTCCCCTTCTCCATTTCAGAAGAAGGGTCCCGAACCGAAATGTCAGCTTTCCTGTTCCTCTGATGCTGCCTGACCTGCTGTGTTCCTCCAGCTTCGTACTTTGTTAAAACTTCAGGAGGATTGCCTTCAACAGAAAGAGTACTGGGTGACTGTATTACATTCCCCTTGGTTTTGAAAGTAAACTTGTACAAAGCAAAAATTAAGTAAATTTGTTCATTCTTCTAACTACTGTTCCAAAGCTTATAACACTCTGCTCAAAATCAGAATTCTACCAACTGGGGACACAAATACCTGCTCTTCACTTTCCCCAGTCTTAAGTAAACTTGATAATCAGGGCTCACTGCATTATATATTTTTCTTGCCAGTCATTTGTTGAACTAAATTGATTGAAAATCAGGATGAATACAAATTAAAACAGCAACAGTTAAAACTGGGGAGAACTGAACTTGACATTTAGATGCACCGACATTTGGCCTTTTACTGGTTGCACAGCTTGATGATTTTTATTTGGTCAGACATAAATGGCACTATATTAGGTGACAGTCAAAACACTGACACACTAGTGAGGTTTCCGGATAACGTAAAAAGAAAAATGAGCAATCCTGCCAGTGAAAATGGTTAAAAGACAAAAGGAACAGAAAGAAGCCACTTGACAATCCGCTAAAATCACCTTATCCCAGGTAAGAAAACCTGTAAACAATAAGATTGAGGATTAACTAATTTTTACCTTGGACAGTCTGAAATCTACCAGAATCCTCTCATTCATCTCGATGAAATTTGCTTTGAATATAAGCTTGTTGTTCCGTCTGTCCATGGTTGATATAGTCACCTAGAAAACCAGCACAAATACACATGAACCTTAATGCTCAAGGCTCCACAATACAACCACCAGCAATACCCAGACTAAGGTTTTTTGTTTTAAAAGCTCCTATTCGGGGAAAGAGTGACCTGCGCTCAATGTTCTATCCATTTACTTATTTATTTATTGCTGACCCTGCGTTCATGACTCTTCTGGTATGAATAAAATTAATTCAACAAATGACAGAGTGACATGCAACAAAATGTTAACTTAAGCCCTCAGGTAAATTTCTTGAAACAAAGTCATTTCATCCGCAGATATGTTAACCACCCTACCTGGTTGTTGCAGCTCTTCTTCCAAGTGTAGCCCAGTTTCTCACAAACATCTTTCAGGGCCAGGTAGGACTGTTCAGCATTCAACTTCGTGAAGAACCGAGTCATTCGTTTCACTAACCGTTGCCAAGAGCTCTGTAAAACAAGCAGGTTGACATGAACACAGAGTACTCTGATGCAGTGCACAAACAACTCAGTAAACTGCATAAAAAGAGATAGTTAAAAACGCATTTCCTGAAGGATGCCAAGTGAGGAGGACCTGACGATCATAGGTCTGCTTTAAGGATTTGTTCCAGCCATTCTGTGAACATAGAACCAGTGACAGAAACACTACTTTGCTCCGTAACAATTCAGCCAGTACAACAAAATCTATATTTCTCAATAACGCACATACAGGTCAAAGATTTAATATGAACGTAAGAGAGAAGTAGAGTTTATGACTTCTTAAGGGCGTTCTACAATTAGACTTAATCATGACAAGCGTCTTTGCTCCAACTCACTTTGCATACCTTACTTTGGAGACTAAGAGCTTGTCTATCCCAGCCTTGAAAATATGTTGCAGCATCTACAACCTGCTTCTCAAATATTCACAATCTTTTCAGTGAAGGAATTTTCCTCATCTCAATGTTACACTCTCCAGCAAGAAGCAATCTCACCGAAAAAGGACTTTACAGGTAAGACAGTGAGGACACCTCTCATTCTTCTAAATACAGGAATACAGGACACCAGAATTAGTCTCTCATTACGGAAACATCCTCTCACCTCCAAAATCAATCAATCAATCAATCTATTGAACCTAACAAGCCGGTGCAGGAGGGAGGGCTTCAGATATCTGGATCACTGGGGGATTTCTTCCAGGGCAGAAGGGACCTGTACAAGGAGGACGGGTTGCACCTAAACTGGAGGGACATCACTATCCTGGCAGAGAGGTTTGCTAGCACTGCGCGGGAGGGTTTAAACTAGTGTGCCAGAGGGCTGGGAGCCAGAGAAGTAGGTCAGCACGTAGAATCATTGGAGGAGAAGATCGACGTTAAGTCTATTAAGTCTAATAGGAAGAACAGGTAGGATCAAATTAATGAACACAGGAGGACTTGTGGTCTGAAGTGTACTTATTTTAATGCAAGGTGTTTAAAAGACAGACTTTGTGCTTGGATTAGTACACAGAGCTACAATATTGTAGCCATTACAGAAACTTGGTTGAGAGAAGGGCAGGACTGTCACCTCAATGTTTCAAGGTTTAGATGTTTCAGGTGCGATAGACAGGGATGTAGAAGTGGTGGGGGAGTCACATTACCAGTTAAGGAGAATGTTACAGCTGCGCTAAGAGACGGCATCTTCAAGAGCTCATCCAGTGAGACTATGTGGCTAGAACTCAGGTAGAAGAAAGATGCAATCACTGTGATGGGGTTATACTACAGGTCTCCCAATAGCCAGCAGGAGACAGAGGAACAGATATGGAAGGAGATCATGGAAAGATGCAAAAACAACAGGGTTGTTGTGGTGGGTGACTTTAACTTCCCCAGTAGGGCTTCTTTAGTGCCAGAGGCTTGGATGGGGCAGAATTTGTTAGGTTCATCCAGGAGGGTGTCTTAATACAACATGTAGAGAGTCAATGAGGGAAGGGGCCATACTAGACCTTGTATCGGGAAAATGAGCTTGACCAGGTGATTGACGTTTCAGTGGGGGAGCATTTTGTGAACAGTGATTATAGTTCCACAAGTTTTAAGGTAGTTGTGGATAAGGATAAGACTGGTCCTCAGGTGAAAGTGCTAAATTGGAGGAAAGCTAATTATAACAGTATTAAGCAGGAACTAAGGAAGTTAGATTGAGGGGTTGTTTTGACAGTAAATTCACAACTGATGTGGGAATCTTTTAAACAGCAGCTAATTAGAGTTCAGAACCAGCATGTTCCTGTAAGGATGAAAGAAAAGGTTCACAAGATTCACGAACCCTGGATAACAACAGATATTGCAAATGTAGTCAAAAAGGAAAAACAAGCATATTTAAGATTAGGAAACTGAAGTCAGACAAGGCCCTTGAGGAATACAGAGGAAGCAGAAAAGAACAGAATTAGGAGGGTTAAAAGGGGCCATGAAATATTCTTAGCAAGTAGGACTAAGGAGAATCCCAAGGCATTATATACATATGCGTACTGGGGAAAACGGAAGTCCACTCAAGGACAAAGGATGGAATTTGTGTGTGGAGCCAGAGGAAGTGGGTAAGGGCCATAAAATAGTATGCACCAAGGAGATGTACGTGGATGACGGTAAGATTGGGGAGGGATATGTTGATATTCTAGGGAATGTCAATTTTAAGGAGCTGGTGTTGCTGGGTGTCTTGAAAAACAGTAAGGTAAGTAAGTCCCCAGGGCCAGATGGGATTTATCCCAGGATACAGAAGGCAGCATGGGAGGAGATTTCTGGGACCTTGTCAGAGAGCTTTGTACCCTCTTAAGCGAAGTCCAAGAAGACTGGCTAATAGCCAGTGTTGTTTCTTTAAGGGCATCAAGGATAATCCAGGACATTATAGGCCAGTGAATCTTACGTCAGTGGTAGGGAAATTATTGGAGAAGATTCTTAGGAATAGGATGTACTCATATTCGGAAGAGAAAGAACTTAAGGGACAATCAGGACGGCTTTACGGAGGGGAGGTCTTGTCTCACAAATTTGATTGAGCTTTTTTGAGGCAGTGACAAAGACAACTGATATGGGTAGGACAGTGGATGTTGTCTATACAGATGTTACTAAAGCATTTGACAAGGTCCTTCATGTTAGGCTGGTCCAGAAGATTGAGTCACATAGAATTCACAGTGAGTTGTTGAGTTGGATACAAAATTGGCTTGGTGATAGAAGGCACAGGGCAGTTACAGATTGGTATTTTTCTGACTGGAGGTCTGTGATCAGGTGGTGTTCTGTAAGGATCAGTGCTGGGACGTTTGTTTGTAATATATCTAAATGACTTGGATGAAAATGTAGGTGGTCTGATTCATAAGTGTGCAAACAACACGAAAATGATTGGAGTTGTGAATAGCGCAGCAAGTTGTCAAAGGATTCAACAGGACATAGATCAGTTGGAAAGCTGGGCAGAGAAACAGCAGATAGAGCTTAATCTGACAAGCGTGAGATGATAGATTTTCAGAGGTCAAATGCAATCGGAAAGTATAGAGTAAATGGAAGGCCCTTTAGGGGCATTGATATACAGAGGGATCTTGGGGTCCAAGTCGATAGTTTCCTGTAAGTGGCAGCACAAGTGGATAAGGTGGTAAAGAAGGCTTACAGCATGCCTGCCTTCATCAGTCGGGGCGCTGAATATAAAAACTGGCAAGTCACGTTGCAGCTGCATAAGACTTTAGTTCAGTCGCACTTGGAGTATTGCGTGCAGTTCAGATCGCCACTTTATATGAATGATGTGGAGGCTTTGGAGAGGGTACGGAAGAGGTTTAAAAAGATGTTGCCTGCATTGGAGTGTATTAGCTGCAAGGACAAGTTGGACGAACTTGGATCGTTTTCGCTAGAGCACTGGAGGCTTAGGGACGACCTAACAGAAGTATGAAAGGCATAGATAGAGTGGATAGTCAGGGTCTTTTATCCCAGGAAGGAAATGTCAAATACTAGGAGGCATCTATTTGTGGTAAGAGAGGAAAAAGTTTAAAAGGAGACATGCGAGGAAAGTTTTTTTAAAAACACGGAGGGTGGTAGGTGCCAGGTGCCAGGAACGTGCTGTCAGGGGAGGTGGTAGGAGGAAATACAATAGCAACGCTTGAGAGGCATTGAGACAGACACACGAACAAGCAGGGAACAGAGGGATACAGACCGTGCGCAGGCAAATGGGGTTAGTTTAGAATAGCATCATAGTTGGCACGGACCATGATGGGCCGAAGGGCCCGTTTCTGAGCTGTACTGTTCTATGCTCACTGTACCGGCCATCAAGGCAAGATTTATCTTTCCATAAATATGGAGACAAAATTGCACACAGCACTCCAGGTGTAGTTTCACCTACATAATAATAGCAAGGCTACTTTTTCCTTGTACTCCACATCCCTTTGCAATAAAAAGGACAACATGCCATTTGCTTTCTAGGTTCTAGCTGTTCCAACATGCTAACTGGTGTTCTTTGGCAAGCACACTTAAGTCTCTATTAACACAAACTTTTACAACTTTCACACCTGTTAGAAAATATTCTGTTTTTCTAATCTCTCAACCAAAGCAAATAATCTCTCTCATTCACATAATGCTCCACCAGCCACCTTGGTGCCCATTCACTTAACTCATGGTAGTCACTTTGCAACTTCCACATGTTCCTCACAGCTTACAAATCAGCAAACCTAGATAGATTTTTGTAGGTGTCTCCATCCAAGTCGTTAATATAAATTGTAGACATGAGGCCCCAGTGTTAATAATTACAGCACTTAGTGAGCTATACCATGCCAACTTGAAAATATCCTTATAATCTTTGCTTCCTGTCCATTAACCAATTCCCCACAAATGCAAATACATTACCCCCAAATTGGAGTCACTACCTTGCATATTTGCCTTTTGTGTGGCACCTAACTGAATGTCTTTTTAAAAAAGTATCATACATCTACTGGCTTTTCCAAGCTACTCAACAAGGTAAATTCATTAAAGATCAATCAAACTTTCGCTCTTAAAATCCATAGAAAACGTTAATATGATTAGACAGAGTTAAAGTGTTCCTTAGTAACAGCTTCCAACATTTTCCTCGAAGACTAACATCAGGTTAACTGGCTATGGTTCCCTGTTCTTTCTCTCCTGCCTTTCTTGAAAACCAGCATTACATGTATCAAAACTACATTTGCTGACTTTCAATCCACTAGGGGCTGTCCGAGAATTTACAGAATTTTGGCAAAAATAATAACCAGTCTATCCACCATCTCTGAAGCGACCTCTTTTAGAAAAGTAGGATGTAAGCCAAATCCTGGGGATTTGACAGCTTTCAGTCCCTTAGATTACTTGAACACTTCTTTTCTCTGCTGGTTAGTATCTCTCATAAGAACCTTGTTTATTCTCTATTTCTGTACGGAAATTGCATTTTCAACTGTGAAGGCAAGAAAAAATTTGCTCAACATCTCTGCACTTTTCCGTGATATCACTGATAATTTCACTGTCTGCATCCAAGAGATGTTAGTTTCCAAGAATACAGTGTGGAGTTGGAGGAACACAGCAGTTCAGGCAGCAGCAGAGCAGGAAAGTTGACATTTTGGATTTACTTTCCTCCTTTTGTTTTTGTTTTTATAATTCTGGCTGCCTCACGATTTTCCTTCATTGCAACAACCTTTTGGTCACCCTTTGATGGTTTCTAAAACTCTCCCATTCTTCAGGCTTCCCATTATTTTTTACAATATTTCAAGATTTTTTGTTGAATGCTATCCCTAATTAACACTTTGTGGATCTTTCTTAAAGTCTTTTTTTTCTTAAAAAAGGCCATTTTTGTGAAAAAGTGGGCAATTTTAAAAACTATTCCTCAGTGGTTATTTACCACCATAACCTTTAGTGCATTAGGTTACAATATAAATTAACGATTTGGACAAAGGAATTGAACTTAATATCTTCAAATTTGCAGACAACACTAAGCTGGTTGGCACTGTGTGCTGTGAGGAGGATATGAAGAGGCTGCAGGGTGACTTGGACAAACCAGCTGAGTGAGCAAATACTTCGCAAATGCAATATAATGTGGATAAATGTGAGGTTATCCACTTGGTAGCAAAAACAAGAAGGCAGATTATTATCAGAATGGTGGTAGTTTAGGAAAAGGTGAGGTACAGTGAGACCTGGGTGTCATGGTGGAACAGTTGCTGAAGGCTGGCATACAGGTGCAGCAGGCAATGAGGAAAGCTAATGGCATACTGGCTTTCATAGCAAGAGGACATGAGTATCGGAGTAAGGATGTCTTGCTACGGTTATACAGGGCTTTGGTGAGGCCACACCTTGAATATTGTATGCAGTTTTGGTCTCCAGGTCTGAGGAAGGACAATCTTGATATCGAGGGTGTCCAGCGAAGGTTCACCAGACTGATTCCGGGGACAGCAGGACTGACGTGCAAGGAAAGACTGGATCGACTGGGTTTGTACTCACTGGAATTTAGAAGAATGAGGGGACATCTCAGAAACATACAAACTCCTGATGGGACAGGACAGGCTAGATGCAGAAAGAATTTTCCCGATGTTGGGGAAGTCCAGAACTAGGTGTCACAGTTTAAGAATAAGGGATAAGCCCTTCAGGACTGGATGAGGAATATTTTCTTCACTCAGACAGTTGTGAGCCTGGAATTCTCTACCACAGAAAGCCATTGGGGCCAGTCCATTAGACATATTCAAAAGGGAGCCGGACATGACCCTTGAGGCTAAAGGGATCAAGCAGTGTAGAGGAAGCAGGAGTGGGATATTGAAACTATGTGATCATACTGAATGGTGGTGCAGGCTCAAACAGCCGAATGGCGTACTCCTGAAACTATTTTCTATGAAGCTAATTAACCTCGACCAGCTCCATCACACCCATGAAACCGGCTTTGAAGGAGTTTGGTTTTGGATAAGACAATGTTGTTTTTAAACTTAATTGCAACTTAAATTGTACAGTGAGAGATTCTATAAATTCAACAAAGACACCGGTTCAATGTTAGGATCTATTGATCTTCATGGCTCAACATCACACAAAACAATACCTCTATCAATGAGGCCAAAGTGGGAACCTTCAATAACTATCTCTATGGCTTTTGCACTGACCCCTATCCTCTGTAAGCTTTTCTGTTTTTATAATTCTACGAGATCTCTACACTCTAATTCCGGCCCCTTGAAAATCCAGTACACCAGTCGCTGAAAGTAAGCATGCAGGTGTAGCAGGTGGTGGGTGAAGACAGCAAATGGCATGTTGGCCTTCATGGCAAAAGGATTCAAGTACAGCAGGGATATCTTGCTGCAATTGTACGGTACAGACACTTGAGGTACTGTGCGCAGTTGTCATCTCCTTATCTGAGGAAAGATGTTCTCACTATGGAGGGAGTGTAACAAAGATTTACCAGACTGACATATGAAGAAGTTGGATTAGCTGGGGCTATATTCACTGGGGTTTAAAAGGAAGAGGGGGTATTCTCAGAAACCTACAAAATTCTAACAGGACTAAACAAGGCAAATGCAAGAAGGATGTTCCCAATGACTGGACAATCCAGAACCCCAGACTAGGTCATTTAGGACTGAGATCAAGAGAAATTTCTTCATCTAAAGAGTAGTGAGCCTGTGGAATTCTTTGCCACAGAAAATGGTCAAGGCCAAAACATTGAATGTTTTCAGGAAGGAGTTAGGTATAGTTCTTAGGGCTTAAGGGTATGAGGGGAAGTGGGAAATGGTACTGAGGTGGATGATCAGCCACGATCTTAATGAATGGCACAGCAGGCTCGAAGGCCTACTCATATTTTCAATGTTTCTATCCCTGCAGTTTTCAGCCATGCTTTCAGCTGTCACAGCATGAAGTTCTGAAATTCCCTCAAATATTTTTATCCCTGTCTTACATTAAATCCATTCTTAAAAAACAAAACTCATTAACCAAACTTTTGCACACCATTCTCATATCTCTGTTGTTTGGTGTCAAGATCCATTTGAAGTGTCTTGAACCATTTTGGTACATTAATAGCATTAAATGTGCTATGCAAATACAAATTGGTTTTGAGGGAGTTTGATAAATTAACCTTGCCATCCTTGGTAAATCTTAGCAAATCAATCATCTTACCTGCGATGATCCAGGTGTGCTTTGCAGTTGGCTGCTGACAAGCATGTGGTCTGTGCAAGTAGGTTGGGAGAAACTAATCCCTTGTACCAGATTATCAATACTGGAGTGATTGGAGTCCCATGATGACAAAGCAACCCGAGGTTCAGGCTGGGAACTCGAATACCTTGCTTGATCCTCACTGTATTACATAAAAATTGGCAGAAGACTGGAATTTAGAACATGCAGCAGTATGCCATTTCTGGTTAGAATGTTTTGAACAGGGTCACAGATTGGTAGAGTGGGTGCAGGGGCAAATATTGAGTGTGTGGACAAGAGGCTAAGTTGGGCTATAACAATGCACAGTTATTGTTGGAGGACAGGATTCAATTCTGGGCACCACAAAATAATATAAATATTGTGCATTTACAAATATTAAAGAGAGTGGAAGAGGAGAAATAACCATATGAATATCAAAGGGAGCACACTCACCTTTAGGTCCCTACACACCCAGGCCTGCAGTGGTTCCAGAAGGTAGCTCACCACCACCTTCTCCAGCACAATTAGGAATGGACAATAAACACCCACATCCCATTGGCCCTCGATTGCTCATCATATTATTTAGTATAACACTACCACATCAGTACTGGGGGAGTGTTGAACAGTTGCAGGTGGCCTCTTTCCAATGAGATGTTAAGATCTTATGGCTCTATTATGAACAGCAGACAAAATCCCCCAACGATCGTGTAATAACTATCCCCAAACAAACGGGACTAAAAACTACCACACTACTATGTATATATTGGTTATCATGTTTCCTAGGTTACAACCACAACTACATTTTAACCACACTTTGTTGGCAGTAAAGATTTGGGACGTTCCAATACTGGGAAGGATTCCATATGAAAGCAAGCTCTAACCCAAAGCAAAAAGGGATCATCAGCTATGCAGAAGTATTGAAGAAACACAAATTTTACCAGCTAGAAAGGAGGCGTCCTTACAAAGGTGCATCAAAAATTAAAGGTGAAGTTAGATTCTTATTTCAAAATTAATCCATGAAACTTGGACAAATTAATGGAATAAATCGATTTTAAGTGAGCACTCTTACTCCAAGTAATAAACTTTTTAATCTGATAGGAAACTACCAGATTCAAAAACATCAGTTTTCTTTTGCGGGTGTTAATATAACAGAGGGATAAACTGATGGGCCAAACTATCCCGTCATAACTTACACAATTGTGTAAACGTTAGGAACAGAAGCATTAACTGAATCCAGTTAGGTTTGTGTCAATAGGTTCATTGTGCGATTATTCTCACAACTCAAACTGTTCTGCACATTTTTATTTAAACACAGGGAATACCAATCTGAGTGTTACACTTAAACAACACTCATTCTTCCATTTTAAATATAAAATGCAACTTTGGAACTGATTTGAGACAGCAGGACATTGCCTGAATTATAAAGTGATTGAGTGGACCCAGCTCTCCAAGCAATTCGCACAATTTGAAATTCATATATAACGACTGCCTTGAATCAAAGTGCTTAAGGTAGTGTAACCCAGACTATAAACATTAACACATACCATCAACCTATTCATAAATAAATAAAGGCTCAGGTGCTTGTTTATTGCAAGTGACATTAGCTCAAAGCATATCTTTTCAGATGAATTTACCTCCAGGGCAGGCCACTGACATGGGATAGATCCACATTAGAATGAATGTGTTTAGTGAAAGGCCCCTGCGACTCATTGGGACTACCAGAGGATAACCATGCTCTCTTCACACCTGGAAAAAAGGAACAGTGAAAGCAGAGAGCCAGTCAGAAGATTTGATAGCATTGCACATAATAGACCTCCTGCCCCTCGGAAAATGGACAGCTTTACTCTCAGGGTAAAGTCTGTCATTTAATTGGGTTTCAGTCACACCATTAGTGTACTCTGCCTGTATTTCTTCCCAATTCACTGTCCAGTCAGCAAAGTGGGGGAAAAAAGCAAGTGGACAAAATTCTGACATTCTCAGTGTTCTCCGAAAACATAAAAACACTGCAAGAGTGTGTGTGTGCTTATGTTCAAGGCAGAACATTAATATCATTCCAAATTGCAATGGGTTAAAATACAACAGACACAAAGCTTACACTCTGCAGGCTAGAAAGTAAGTGGTTCAGAATTGGGATCTGTTTACAGTTAGAAAAGTCTTCATTATCACAGACAGCATATGGCACAATACTACTATGAATGAAGTAGGAAGTAGGAACCAGGAACCAAGGAAAACAAAAAACTTTAAATTAGCACACAACAACTTAGGAAGCAATAGTGAGAGTATATTGTTTTGCTGAACAAGGTGTTAAAAATGTTTCAAACAGTTGTCTTAGTATGGGCAGAGGCTCAAAATGAAAATGACAGTTCTAACTGGACAGTGGGGTATTTGGGAAAAGAGTACAAGTTTCAATGAATCAAGTGGCCATATATTAAGTTTCAAACACTGCATTTTCCAGCAGTGGGTGAACAGCAAAAACAAAAAAAACTTTTCCCAAGCACATCAACAGAACTGTGACTGAATGCCAATTCCCCTTCCTGAAGAGTACAACACAAAGGTAATCCAATCCTCTTTGTAACGGGCTACACTTACCTCCTGTACTCCTTGTCAGGATGGCACAGTGCACTTGATAAAGCAGATCTGCACCAAACATCTGCCACTGAATTAAGCCCACTCTTCTTAGTTGGAAGCAGCAGTAGCACAGTTTGCAACCAACTATTACCACTTCTCATTCCCAACTGAATTTGACAATTCAACAATTTCCAACTGCAGGGGCTAGTGGTATTATTACTAGATTATTAATCCAAAAAACACAGATAACATTCTGAGGACCTGGGGCCATAGCAAGCGGCAAAATTTGAATTTAATAAAAATCTGGAATAAAAGGTAGCTTAATGCTGTCCACATAAACAGTGCTGTTTTTAGTAAAAACATGTCTGGTTCACTAACGTCCTTCAGGGATGGAAACTACCATCCTTACCTAATCTGGTACATGTGACTGCAGACCCACAGCAATGTGGTTGACTCATAACTGCACTCTGGACAATTAGGGATGGGCAAAACATGCTGGTCCAGCCAACGACACCCACACTCAAAGCAAAAAGTTCAGGGCATACACAATGGGTCTGACAGTACTCAGTAGGGACAGAAAAGAATAAAATTTTAGAATCTCAGACATGTACAGCCCATGAGGTTATTCAGTTCATTGTACTTGTGCCAACTGTAAAACAACCATTCAGCTTAATCCTACTTTTCAGGTCTTTGAGTGTAGCTTTCCATCTCAAGTACAAATCCAGTTAGGTATTAAGTGAGAGAGGTTCAGGCAGTGAGTTCCACATTCCCACCATTCTGAGTAAAAAAATAAACTCTTCAAATTCCCCGCTAATCCTACCAATAAATTTAAACCTATGTCCATGATATTGATGGCATCTCTGAGGGAAATAGCTTCTTTCCATTCACTGTCTAAGTTATTCATAATTTTATACACATTAATGAAATCTCTCTTCAGTTTCCTCTGTCCCAGAGAAAACAAATCTCAATAGATCCAATCTTTCTTCATAATCAAACTTTGCCAGGTCACAGCCACGGAAAATCTAATGCTCATTTTAGAAGGGAGAACAAAAGACCAGTATTTTATTTCAATGGAGAAAAATTGCAGAAAGCTGAAACACAAAGGGACTTGAGGATACTTGTGTATGGAATGCAGAAATCTAGCACACAGGTATAGCAGGATAATCCGGAAGGCTAATGAAATTTTGGCCCTTATTTCAAGGAGGCTGCAGTATAAGAGAAGGGGCATCTTAGTGACTGTACAAGGTGTTGGAGAGACCACATCTGGATTACTGACAGCAGTTTCTGTGCGCTTATTTAAAAGAAAGCTATTTCATCATAGGTAGTACACAGAACGTTCGTGAGGATGATCCTAGTATGGAGGGACAGTCTTATGAGCAAAGGCTAAACAGTTTGAGACTCTCCTCCAAAGAGTTTAGGAGAATGCAAGGTGATCTCATTGAAACATATTCTTAACATATTCTTCACTCTTAATGAGCTTGAAAGGTAATGCCAAGAGGACGTTTCCCCTCTAGGACCAGAGGGTATAGTTGTAGAATAAAGAGGCTGGCCTCTCCAATCAGCTAGAATCACCACATTTCACGAACGAACTGAGCATTCAAATGTTGCTTCAGTTACATATCATAAAGGGACTAACTGCATTTCCTTCATGATCTGTGTTCAGCCTACATCACTTACCATTAAAGCAATGGAAGATACAAGTGCTCGGTCAAATTGACTTACCTCTTTTAAATTGGTAAATGAACCACCTGTCCTTTTTAATATCTGAAATCGTGGCTCTGGCCTTTGGGCCTTCAATCAGAATTTTGTTCAGCAGGCCTGCATAAACCAGACAGATAATCATATAAAAGGTAATGCCGAAAAGTCTCAACAGAATGAGCTACTGTCAATGTACAGCTAGATGTACATTGCCCCTTTTCCATCTGTAAGTTAACACCTGCTATTGCATTACAGCACAAAACATTTGAGTTCTATAACAGTAGAAATTAGTTTACAAACAGTAGAATAATTGGGGTGCCCCAGCTACAGCAGTAGGGCATATAGGGAAGCGCAGCAAGCACACATGAACAGGAGTAAACCATTCAGCCCATCCCAAGCCGGCTCTGACATTTAATTACATCAAATCTCAGCTCCAGTTCCTTCATCTTCAGAGATCTCATCTAACAAAAATCTATCAATGTTGAAATTTGAAATTGGCTCCACCTTCTTACAGGATGAGAATTCCACCATCTTCTCTGAGAAAGGGTGTTTCCTGACATCACTGTTGATTGATCTAATTGAAATTTTAAGGTTAAGCCACCTCGCCTTGTGCTTCCCTCACCAGAGAAATAGATTCTTTTCCTCTACCAAAGCACTCCTTTAATTATTTTCGTTGTCTCATTCAATTACTTCGCAATGTCCGATGCTACATGACCAGGTATTCAGGGCTGTCCAAAGGAAAACTCGAATAAAGAAGAACATGTCTGTAAATAAATTACAGAGCACGTCACAGGGACAGCAATGAAAAGTATTGGCTATTCTTTGTGGAATAATTAAGGAAGACCAGAAAATTAAAAAACTTAGAGCCATTACTCATCTTGACCAAAATTCCAAAGATTTAGTTACATCCTGGAATTTTCCTACTGAAGGCAGTTATGAAATGAATATTGGCATTCATTCTCTTTGGGTCATTACTACAACAACAGTGCATGTTTGTCATTGACACAATGACAGGTGCATAACTAGATTCACGATTCCTGCATCAGCGCAAACGATTAAAAATAGCAAATTCTACACAGAATAAAGTTAAAAAAAACTTAACTCACTGTAGGGAATATAAGACAAGTCTGCTTATGCTTTAAGAGGTTCACTAATTATTTCAATTGTGTTCAACATCAAGCCCAACTTGCTCACTACAGACTGAAGTGTGACCTTACACAGACCCAAGTGAACGATCAACCCAGCTCTTTCCTGCCTTGGTTACCCACAGTCCTGTCAGCAATGTCTGACAGTGTAAAGTTCAGGGAAGCAGTCCTGGTGCTCTGGCCAACACTCACCTCTCAGTCAGCAGACTAACTGACCATTTCACTACAATTTGTGGAACATTGTTATAAAATCATAGTATCCCCACAGTGTGCAAGCAGACCATTTGGCCCATCGAGTCCTCAACAACCCTGTGAACAGTACCACCCAGAGTCACCCCTCTATCCTAACGCTGTGACCCTGTATTTCCCCATGGCTAATCCACCTAGCCTGCATTTCCCTGGACACTATGGGGCGATTCAGCATAGCCAATCCACTTAACTTGCTCAACTTTCGACTGTGGGAGGAAACTGGAGCACCCGGACGAAATGCACGCAGACATGGGGAGAACGCGCAAACCCCCATGGATGGGATCGATCCCAAAGTCTCTGGCACTGTGAGGTAGCAGTTCTTGGCTACAGAGACAACAACACTTCAAAACAATTCACTTGCTCTGATGTTGGGATGTTACCCAGCAGGGAAAGTTTATTTTCTCTCTCAACATAAAAGGAGCAAGTAAGTAAAGTCATCATAGTTCCAGAGGACCATAGGGCTACTCTCTCATTAGAGAGGTATGGCTGGTGGTGGTTTAACCTGTAGATCACCATTTCCCAGGCAAGAAGAGAGGTTGGGAAGGAGGGACCTTCATGGCAAAAGGAGTCTAACTATTGTATAAAACAGGAGCTATGATCTCAGCTGATCTCACTAATCACTAACAAATCAAGATTCCAGCATGAAATCTTTAAATTTAATGATGGGCACTCATTGAAACACAGGCACAAAAGATTACAGATTTTCTTTAACAATAAACAGAAATAATAAAACAAAGGTCTAACAATATAGAAGAGTTTAAAAGATTTTAAAACACATAGCAAAGTTGCATCGATTCAACTCCTTGGGCCTACTCAGTCAGCCAAGTAAATAAGAAAACAGATAGCACTACTGACAGTGCTGTACTATAATGACATGTCATTCCAGAATTACATGCTCAAATCTCACAGTAGGAACTGAACCTACAGCCTTCTGTTTCAAAGGCAGGAGTGCTACCCACTGAACCATAAACACCTAAAGGGGCAGCAATTCCTCCCCACTGTAAATTTGTCAGAGATATTCTCAATCGTATATGGTCCAAGGAGCAAATCCCTGATCATTTCCTTACTCAGTGGAATGGGATCGATCTTTTTCCATGGTGTTAGGTATAGTTTCTTCTCATTCCAATCACAGTACTCCTGACAACTATCCGCAGGCTGGTCCCAGGGTAGCTCTGCAACACAGAATCATCTGTCAGCAAAGAAGAACAACCACAGATATATTCCGACAATTGGGCAGCTTTCCCGTGAAAGTCCCCTCTATTTTTTATTGTTGTGCCTGCCTTTTTGTTCCAGAGCGTGGCACTTCCAAATTCTTTCACTTGGCTTCAGGGCATTATCTGATTTTACAATGGGGTTGCTGCACATCTGTGGACACGTGCGGCTCCAAAAGGATAAGAACATAACTAACTGGAGGGTATGTCATTCAGTCCTTGAGGTGTTCCACCTTTCACTAAGATCACATTGATTCAATTGTGGCCTTAATTCATCTTTCCTCCCTGTCTCCCACCAAAAAATGATCAATTGCCATGCAAACCCATTTGGTGAACTACTGTCATTTAGGGAAGGAAATCTGTTGTCCTTACCTGGTCTGACTGGCACGCGAGACTCCAAATCCACAGCCACGTGGTTGAATCCTACCTGCCCTCTGAAACAGCCCAGCAAGAGCAATTATAGATGGGCAACAAATGTTGGTCTTACCAGTGACACCCACATCCCATGAAAGACAAAAGTTTTTTTAAAAAATGGAAAATTCTAACTGCAGTAAAAATGAACTAAACCACAGCAGGTCCTCTCCTGTAATATTTCCTATGAAAGATAAAAAGATTCAGGGTCACCTTCATCCTATTCAAGATAAAGTTTGGAACTCAAACCTTATGCAGCAACTTTCACACAAAATCTGTCAGCTGCTTGACAAAAAGCTTCAAAGGTAACAAACCAAATCAAAGCATAGTCATAACTCAATATCTATTTGATACAGAGATAGTAGGAACTGCAGATGCTG